CCCTGTCTCTCTGAAGCACTGTATGCTGGGAGTTTCTCTCAGACTGCCAGCCTCAGCAGTGGGCATTGCCACAAGGCCTTCCTGACCTCTTTGGCTCTTGATGCTGACTGTAAAAACAAAAACTACGCTCCAAAAGTGATCTCCTTAAGTACGGGTGTCCAATCCAATTTTACACAAGGAGAGTGCTTAAGATTAGAGATAGTGTTTTTTATTGTGCTCTTCAGTAATAGGAGTAGAAAGGGTGAAAGGAGAGATGGAGGGAAAGAGGAATGGAGAGGACGGCAGATCGATAAAAGCCGCTCTCTCTGGTTGCCTTTATTCTTCGTGTCCGTGGAGACGATGTTTAGGCGGCTGGTGGCAGCAGGCCATGTAAGGGGGGGCATTAAAGTGCCGCAAAGGGACCTGCTCTTTCCCTATAAACAGGTGGAGAAACACTCGCCAGCATCCCAATTGAACACAGACTCGTAGCGCCGGTTCGTAGCCGTAATGAACAGCAATCAGTTTCAGTGGAATGAGATGTGCTGTGTACCTGACCGGTTCGTCATGAAGGGGCTTTTCATTAGGCACCATGGATTATCTTGATGACGGCACGTCAGTACTGGCAGAAAGGGCGCGCGGCCGCACTGGGACGAGCACAACTCCAACCCCCCCCCCCCCCCCCCCCCCCCCCCCCGATTTGCTCTGGCCTTTTTTCTTCTCCCAGTTCACATCCAGTTGATGTCACATACATCAGAGGAAGGCGAAGATCATACGAGAGCCAGTGTTACTTTGTGTTCCACTAATGAGGCCTGTACTCTCCGCCTCCTTGCCTTTGCCTTGCTGCTTTTTGAAACAGCAACGACATAGTGCTACAAGGCTTAAGTAGTTTTTTCTTTCTCTGTACTGAACTGCAGGCTGTTATCCTGTTTGTATGTCACTTGGCTCCGGCGCAGTCCTTTGCACTTGTTTACGGCTCAAATCGCAACAGACCTGACACAGACACACTGGCCTGTATGCCCTGTGAGCATTACCATTCAGATTGTGACTAACCGCCGGCACGGAGGGAACACTCGAAGGCAGACGATGATTTAACAAGTGTAGTAGAACCCGTCATGACCATTGCAGAACTGAGGCATGAACAATAAAGTGTCCAGTACTGCAAGCAATGAAAGTCAGCTACATCACAGAATTTCCCTAAGCCAAGGAACTGTCAAATAAATAGCTGAAGATTGAGCAAGAAGGAAATTGAAAGCAGAAGCTCTCTCACAACTTGCTCATCAGAAAGAGTCGAAAGTATAAAACATCCAAAAACAAAACCGCTGATCCAATACATTCTCACAAAGTGTCTCACATTAGTGTACTGGTTTCGTCATATGACATTCACTTCAAAGCTGGTTTTCTAGCTCTGTGTAAACATGATTCCAACTATTTCTATGATATTGTCTTTCTGGATGGACATGGAACACCTGTAGTTGTAATTTTTCAATTTGTTACATCAATAGCGTTAGAACTATTAACGAAGCACTTATATACTAATAAAGGACTGGCTTACCTAAAGCCAGTTGAGTAGCACTTGAAATGTTTGGCTCTATGAAACCTGATGTACTTATATGATTCTGTTTTCTTCAAGGTTGTGTCTTCCTGGTCGAATGTACTTATTGTAAGTCGCTTTGGATAAAAGCGTCAGCTAAATGCAATGTAATGTAATGTAATCAATAGAAATGGGCGAATTTGGTCTACCGATAAATTGTTGCGTTTACTCAAATGCTAGATTTGACTTATAATCAAATCTTTAGTTATAGGCGACAAAAACAACTTTCTGAGAATTCTGACTTGAATCTCAGTACCCCTAAATAAATACATTTTGGTCAGCTCTCAAAAAGAAGATGTAGCTCTAATCTTCTTCCGTAACTAAGTCTAATTTTAGTCCAAAAAACTTCAAATTCTGAGATTAATGTCACAGACTTTTTCTAATGGTAACCACTGCACAACTGTTTATAATAGTATAAGACTGCCTTTTTATCCTCTGTCTTAACAATTGTGAGGCATACTTTAGGAAAACACAGTTCCCATCACAAAGTAATCTGGCAGAAATGTATGCATGCATGGAATTGATGGTCCTACGCACTTTGTTGCAGGATGACACAGCAATGCCTCGTGGCTGAAGTTGAGACAGGTTAAACCTTCTTGCAGCGTGACCCTGCGTCATGTTGCCGGAGGCCTCTGCTCCTCCTAATGAGGACTCTCTGTTCTTTGACGCCTGAGGTGCCACCGTTTCCCAAATTAAATCAGTAAAACCCGGGCTAGCACAATGAGATATCTCAAAACACAGGATAACGGTTTATCCTGAATTCTGATGTTTGTACGAGGATGTTTTTCCCCGATCATTTCTTGGGTGTTAGTGTAAACACTCCTCGGCAAATCTTTAAAAAACACCAATCGGGGAGCAGCGATCTGACAGTGACTTGCTAAAAAGACATAACTGAAGCTTTGATCTCCTTAATGACATGAGCCGTGTTTGATGTACCGTGGAGCACAGCATCTCCCTGTTATCCAGGCTGCTGAGCTTTTTGTCTCTGCTGGACTGCTGAGCGCCGACGTGTTGACGGGTGTAGCTCCGGCTGGTTAAAAGCAGGACACAGGATCCGGTTGGACTTTTTTCAGCTGTCATACCAGGAGGTGCATCTTTTTTTAGGTAACCAGCCCCATTCTCCTTTTGAAATGGGCGCTTAGAAGTTGAAAATTGCCAACATCAAGAGCTTCCTTGAATTAGGATGCCCCGCAATGCAAGTGTGTTATATAATGCCATGACTGGAGGGAGAGGGAAAGTAGAGCACAGGGGTAGAGATTAAAAAAGTTTCTGCATAAAAAGAGAAGGGGGGGTGAGCATGAAAGGGAATGCAGGGGGGAGGGATTGAGGGAGAGACAGAGGAGATAGAAATACAGTGTAATACAAAAAGAGAAGGGAGGGGGGGGGGATTAGGTCAGGCAGGAGCGAGGGTCCACTCCAAGCAGCCTTGAGGCCCCGCAGGCTGCAGGAAGCTGGTCAATCCCTCTCCTCTCTCAAGGCTTCTCCATTTTTTCATTTAGATAATGGAGCATTTCCTTAATTGGCAGAGCACAGTTTAGGCCGAGGTTTGTTTGCCAACACGTCAGTGGAGAATTATTTCCACTACATTTACAGCATAGTGTTGCACAGCTCTCTCATTAAAAAATCCCTGCCCAGAGAAGTGCTTTCTGTGGAAGTGTGCAGAAAGAGGCCAAACACCACGGCAAGCAAAACAAAAAAAATAAGGGAATTTAACACATTTATCTCCTATCTCACCATCCCCAGCCCGCTTGTAAAGGAAGAGACAGAAACTTCTCTATCTGTTTACTGTTATTGTTTTTCTCCAATCATAAAAACCTTACTCCTGGCTGCTATTGTGTGCCTCTTTCCACTCCTTCTCTCTTATCGAAAGAGTTATGCATTGAGTTTGCATGATCTGTATCTTTAAATTTGATTGAGGGTATTTGCAGGGGGTGTTATTGGATTCCAGTGTTATTGTCTCACCTTTTCCCTCCGTGTTTTTAATGTTGGGATGGATATCCGCACCGGCAGCACTGATCTCACTGTTCTGCTCATTAGTCTGGAGTCGCAGAGCCTATAGTGCTTCGTCGCAACAATAAGACATGCACTTCTGTAGTCCAGCTATTACCCAGTTTAACAATGTGCACCAGCCAGAAAAGTCCATTATTTCTGCAGCTCATCATCTCAAGCATCCGCACGAGACAAAGGGTCCGTGGAAGTGCTTCATTGCAAAGGGCCATCTATCACTTGAGTCAGGAGGAAAAGACTTAAAAACACATGTGCTGCAGATACTCCACAGTGTGTGTTCTGGAAGCATATGGAAAGAAAGAGAGTTATAGGAATAATAACGGGGCTTATTCTCAAACTTTGTAAGGATGGCAACTGAAATGTGTCTCCAATGAAATATATACTTATATTTTCTGGCTTTGCTAGTTTTAGACATAATTTGATGCTGCCAAAATGGCAAGTTTGTACAGCTAGTTAAGAATCTTGGGTGCTATTGTTTCAGAGTGTCCTCATTGTATTGGAGCTCATTTACAGCTTCATAATTGAATCGTCTGCTTCTACTTTGACATGTTTCCATGCTTTAATGTTCATACTGCCTGTGCTGCAGCAGCACTTTTCACCCTCTGTCTGATACCAGAGCCCAGTCTTCTCTGATTGGTTAGTTGGCCGGCTCTGTTGTGATTGGTCAGCTGACTAGAGATATGTTAGAAATGTCCCGCCCCTTAGCAAATCACGTAGAATGTGCTGGAGCACTAGCCGATAGAAGCGCGAGTGTTAGTGATAGTGATAGTGATTATGTTACCGAAGTGAACAAAAGGGGGATAGAGGCATTTCAGGGGGGGGGGGGAAGTGTTTGAGAGAGAAACTCCCTTTCACCTTTGGGGACTTTGCAGAACATTTATATGGACAAAAACCTAAATGACACCCTACAGGAAAGGGAAAAACCAGAAAGATAAAATAGGGCCTCTTTAAAACCTGTTAGAGAAAGTTCTGAATAATACTCTGATTAAGACGAGAGAGTGAGCGGTGGGAAATCCTCTTAAAGTGAGACACAGGTTAATGTTTAAAGTAGGAGCTCGGAGAGGGAGCAGCTGCTAGCTTAACAGACCTGTCATCGGAATCAAAGGCCCTAATCAAAATTGTATCAATTAATTGATCTTTCCTCTTGTGCTTTGCCATGAGTACAATTGAGATTCCCCCTGACTCTTGCCCCTCCAACAGCGAGCCATGCTCTACAACATAAACTGTGTTCATTAGCAATGATCAAGGAATCCTCTAATGTGAGCTGAGATGTGATATGATGGCTGTTTCCTCTCCCCGGTTGTCTTCTGAACTGTGGGGAACTGGCAAGCCTTTCATGCTGCTCGTACGAGTGCAACTATGTACTTTAACTTTCATCTGGAGCCCAGTTCTAACGCTTGCCTCCTGTTGTGTGTTTCTGCAGGGTAACCAAGAGGCCACTAATCCCCCAGAAGCGATGGCCCAGCCGTACACCCCAGCCCAGTACCCCCCACCCCCACAGAATGGCATCCCCGCAGAGTTCGCAGCACCGCACCCACTTCCAACGCAGGACTACAGCGGGCAGAGCCGGGTCCCTGAACACGCCATGACCCTGTACACGCCCACACAGACGCACAGCGAGCCGGCCGGCACTGACAACAGCACGCCCGCCATCACCGCCACCACGACCGCACCGGTCAGTGTCCTTCATCATCTGCAAACACTGTTCTCAACACGCTGTCAGCAAGTAAACTATACTATTATCACTTCTTTACCTTTTTTTTTCTTATGTCGTAATGATGCCTGGATGAAAAGTATACTGTATATTTGTATGTGTTGTTTCATATCAATTTAGAATGTGTGATTCTGACGTTTTCCCCCTTAACAAGTGAAGACGATTGGTAGATTTGGTCCCACACAGGTTTAATTGAGAATCTATGGAAGTAAATCTGTGCCATCTGACGCTTTGGTGCTAGAATTCCCAGCAACGAATAATTATGCATTGAATTTATTTTTCAGAATGTAATGTAATTGTTCAAAATATTCTTTTTTTTTTCAATGTTCCTAACTTCAGAATTAAAACTTTTTACTTAAAAAATACAATATATATATTCATGTTGATAGACCAAATCCAGTTGCATAAATATGATGTATAAAACTCAATTCTCGATCAACTCTTCTTCTGTATGTGCCAATGTGTGTTTGCTTTTTTCAAAGATTTAGTAAAAGACAACCACCGTGTTGAAAAACAGACAAACACAATGGCATATATAAGAATTGATATCGATCGACCAATACAGAGAAGAAACTCACTATAAATGGCGTCCAATTAGAAAGAGTATCGGAAATACAATTCCTTGGAGTAATCATAGACAATAAATGAAGTTGGAAACCACATATAAGCTATATCAAAGCCAAAATATCCAAATCAATAGCAATTCTGAATAAAGCCAAATACCTCATTAATCAAGCTTCTTTGTTTATGCTGTACTGCTCCTTCATACTTCCATACATGATGTATTGTGTGGAAGTTTGGGGGAACACATATAAAACAAATCCTATCTTCATCCTGCAAAAAAGAGCCATACGAGTTATACATAAAACTATGTACAGAGAACCTACAAATAAATTATTCATCAAACTACAAACACTAAAACTACAAGACCTGGTTGACTATAAAACTATTCAAATGATGTTCAAAGCCGCAAATCAACAATTACCTCATAATATCCAGGGACTTTTCACACGGAGAGAAAGCATGCACATGTTGAGAGGAAACTGTATTTTCAAAAAACCACCCGTACGAACAAATGCCAACCTTCATTGCATCTCATCAAAAGGTGTTAGTCTGTGGAATAACTGTAATGATGCACTGACATATTGTACAAGTCTATCTAAACTGAAAGTATTATTTAGGAGCCAAATCATTAATGGTTATGAACAGGACCTGTAAAATCCCATTTGTTGTTATTTCTTGTAATTGTAAAAGTAATTTCTTTCTGATTGTTTTGTAAAAAAACAAAAAGCAAATAAATTAACAAGACAAACATGTCGCTGATGACGATAACCTAATATTTTATTTATAAGAAAAGTGGGTAGTGGGTAGGACCAGAAAAGTTGTTTAAGCTTCTTCTTGCCCCTGTTGAACATGACAGAGACTATTTGAGAATTATTGTTGTTTTTGTTTTTTTGTTGTACTTTGTTATAATTATTCATTTGAGTGAGGAGAAAAAAGGAAAAAAAGAAAAAATATATATATTATTGTTGTATGTTTTTGTTTCTGACATGTTCAATAAATTGACTTAAAAAATAAATATATATATATATATATACTCACTTACTGTAAGCACCATCATTAAACCAGGTTTCAATGTTTTTAGCTGACTGCCTTCCCACATCGTTGCACCAATGGAGGGTATGAACGTAGCTTGACTTGATATGGAATCGATTGCTTTTCCTTGGGTTCCCTGAATGTTTCAAACCTACATGTAAATGTATACATTGAATTATTGCAACTTTGAAACTTCGAATTTGAGAATCTTGAATCTATGTGTTACATGTTTTTAAACGTTTAAAATGTTTATTCTAAACTGGGAGAAAAAAAGAAAAAGAATGTGATCTATTCATTTTCCAGGCTGAAGTACGGATACATCATTTTAATGCATAATTATTTGGTGCTAAAAATTCAATGGCTTTTTATTTTCAAATTCAGATGGAACAGATTTACTTACATAATAATTGTATTATTCCCAGTACTTGTTTCTTCTCCCTGACTGTGGTCACTGAGGAAGTTAGCTATTTTTGCTAATACCCATTCACTCTTTCCGCCGTCTGCCATCGCCTGAAGCCTGAAAGCTTCAGCACCTGCCTTCTTCCTGTTTCACGCCATGGAGAAACAGAAGCACAAACAATCTACACAATTGCCATGAATCCAACTCAGTTATACACAACTTTAAAAAGCACTTTGGACGATAAATATCCTGCCATCAGTTTAATATTAAAAGAATTAGGCCTAAACATTCCCATATAATTAAAATGGTAATGAACTAAGAATAATTACACCTTTAATTACGCTCTGCATAAATCATAATATCACACAATTAAATTGTGTGATATTGAAATTGATTTTAATCAAGGTATGTCAAAGGAGAATTTAAGCGACGATCATTTGTCTTCATTTGCAAATATAGTCCTTCTGTTTTCACTATACAATATTCAAATGTGTAATTCTGCTCCATTAGGTTTATACAGAGTTGCTTTGAGAAACTTTTATTTCAGTTCAATGTTATCGTTCTCTGCATCACAATCACAACAAAAATGACTTTCTTAATAAAAAGTGAGTATAAAAGTTATACTGAGTCGAACAGTTCTAATCATCCAGAAGCAGCAGAAGACTTTGATGTCATGGCAGTGCTTTGTGCTCGGCGTGGGAGGTGAATTTGGTTGAAAATATGCTCATAAAATGAAAGTGCATTTCTGAAGAGCCATTTGGGGCTCCCTTAAAAAACATGTAAGCCCTGCGCTGTTTTATTTATTTGCGTGAAAGGAGATGTGACTTGCTGTAGACATGAATGATTCAGGATCTGTGAAAGGAGGGCACGCCCTTCCCTCCTGATCTTTTCGGGCAGTAAAAGAGAGACGCACTTTCTCTCCAACAGCCAAAACTAAATTACCGTTGAGTCAAATCCGCTAATTTATTTGTGCAAGCGTCCAAAAGAGACGTTCCTTTAAACAGAATCCTGCGTAACTGTGCCAGGACCTGATTATACTCTCTCATTTATTTGCATTCCCCCCCCCCACTATAAGATATGTTTAAAGTATTGGCACTCCGAGTGGAAAACAAACCCCTGGCGATGCTGCATGTGGAGATACACAGCCTGAGACTGAGTGGAATTCTAAATGATATATTATTCATTTCATTCTTGTGTACTGATACTCCGATATGAAATACCTTGACCTGAGATTTACCTTCACAAGAGTCAGGTGTAGATAAAAGGCAGGGCGACTCAGCTCCTAACTTTCGAGACGTGTCTTGAAAGACGGATAATGCTCACAGAGATGAAGGGAAAAAAAATAAGACCTTCAGACCTCTCCTTTAGCGTGAAAACACCTGCTGGGAGGGGTCACGGTGAGGCCACATCCCCTCTCAGAGGGATCTGGGTCACTCATAAAGAGCATTGTTAATAACTCCATTTGTCCCGAGCCTCCCCACTGAGGGACATTTGGTGGCAGGAAAGTGCTTATACGGCAGAAATGGAGCCGTGGCGTATAATCGCCGGCCGGTAATGTAGCAATGTTTGATTTGAAGATTTGTGTGACGCTCTCCAACTGCCCCGTGGTTACGCGGCGCACCTTACAGTAATGGCTGACACACGAGAGAGTTTAAAGTGAGGTTCAGCGTCCTCCCCCCTCTCCCTTCTCTCACTGTCTCCTCCTCTCTCTCTCCATTTGATTTCATTTCATCTGTGCCCCCGCTGTGAAGAGATGGTGGCCATGGAGAGATGGCCATGGAGAGATGAGATCTCGCCTTACTTCTTCCTTCATGCTCTCCCCCCACATCCCCTCGCCGTGCCCGCTTTCCCCCTACCCTCCTCACACTCCCCACTTCTACCCATCTTTGTCAGGGAGGACAGAGGGATGAGATTAGTGGGGTGTAAACAGAGAGTCTAATCCTCAGGGGCTGCTGGTGTAGTGTCGCCCACCGCTGAGTTCCCCAGCTTTAATGACAGACCCAGCCTGTTTGCTCTGGGTGCCACAGACGGGCCCGGGTGCCTTTGATTAGGACACCCTGCAGGAACACAGATTGAGGGAGCAGATCAGCTACTCACTGCATTCCCCTCCCGCCCCCCCCCTCCTCCCTAGACTCGACTCTGCTGCGCTCAGCTCCTCTTCCCCGCGAAGACGCTTTACTCTGCACATCTTCTCGACTTAAAGACTTAAAAAGAGTCAAGAGAGAGTGGGAATGCAGTGAAACGTATGGATTCTGTGTGAAGAGCAAGGAGAGTGTGTTTTAATGAGGCGGGGTGACTCTCTGTTTTCTGCCTTGTGACTACCAGTCTCACCCGTCCACACTGGGGAGGAGGCGCTGTCCAGAGCCAGACCTCTGGGACCCCCGATCTGTGACACGTTCAAACAAGCTGACTTGAAAGCGGGACGACTTGAGGAAGAGAGGCAGCCCCCAACTTTTTCTCTCCAAATCCTAAGAGATGAGGGGAGCAGAGGGCTGCCAGGGAGCTCTGCTGAACACAAAAAAAACTGAGCTCGTTATCTGGCTCAGTTCAAATAGTCTGAGGTTTGGTTGAATTTCATGAGTAATCATTCTCTTTTCAGATAACAAATTAAGGCAGTGGCGTTAGGGCAGCACTCAATTCCAGATTTTTCACAGCCCGTGTCAGACGCGTGAAGACTTTCCAAAGGGTATTCTGGGGGACTGTGATAACACACACACATACCAACACACAGGGGCGAGCACATGCAAACATTTCATACATCCACGCACGCACCCTCTCATCTGTCGAGAGCAGTGTTTAGGGGATTGAGACTCCGCCGGGTGTAGCTTTCAGAGGCGGTGCTGATGGCAGCATGTAGGCCACCATTAAGAAGGGGATGACTCGGTTATCTTCAAGTGGGAGGAACCGCTGATTTTACACCACTGTGCATTCCCATTTCACAGATATTATCAGTGCTCCTCCACATAAAAAACTCCTGGATAATTTGAAGGATAAGGCCGTTTCTATTTATATCTTTTTATTTATCCTTGAATAGGCCAATGTAACAAGTTAAGTCCTTTCTTAACAATTCTATAACCTGACTGTGCCTCTAAATCTTTAAAGCAGCTGACATGTAGCTTCATTTTCAAGTGCATTTGAGCTGCTGCAAACATTTCAAATGCTTGATATTAAACCAATAAATGCCAGAATTGGTCGTGATGACGAATGTCAGTTTAGATGGTTTAAATAAGATAAAACTAGATTACACTTGTACGCCCTACCACCAATACTGATAATAGAGCGTTCTTGAGGACTAGTTTCTGTTGCGGATGAATCCACTTTTGGTGCTGTGGTAGAGAGTATTTGTAGCAGCAGGACAGTGTATGTGGGATTGTGTCTAAATACACATTGTGTAATAAAGGAACATGTCAAACAGTGCAACAGTATTGCTCATTGATGAGTTGTTTATATTTGTGGACAACAATGGAGCCTTTATGGCAGAGAGAAGGATGAAGATAAACAGATAATAGTTGTCAGTAGATAAAATCACTGTTTGTTTGGTCTTTGGAAGAATCTGTCAACTATAAAAGGTTTATATAAGTGAGTATTTAGTGTTAGATTATGTCAGTTTAGCATCACACTTATGTTCTGTCGGCTTATACTTAATATTAGCCTACAGAACAGTACAGCTTACACAGAATACATCAAATGTGATCCTTGTAATGTAATAGTAATCTGATTACGTCATCTTTTTTTAATATATATTACCGTAAGGGAATACAGCTTCCTGATTCGTAATCCCGTAAAATGTTACTCCCCAAACCTGACACTACAATACCCAGAAGCCTCAGCTACCATTACTTAAAGAGCCAGACATGTATGGTTTCACTGGGACTGAACCAATGCTCCGTTTTAATCTAATAATCAAAAGTTGCATAATACAGAAGCTTACATTTTTTTGTTGATACATTAAATTGGACAGTTTGATGTCTATCCAAACATTATTGGCGCTCCACCTGTCAATCACCTTAAAGTGTGTACGCAGACACTGTTACAGTTGAGTACTGTCGTCTGAACGCCCAAAATAACTCGCTATTTTCATATAAATCAGTGGGAGGAGGTGGGGGTGGCCCCTCCACTCCACACACCCTGCACTCTCAGGTGATGGAGAGGATATATTTGCAGCTTCCTTAGAAAAAGAAAACAAACAGTGGAGGACCGGGAGGGGGAAAATAATGAATTTAAGCTTGGGCATTATAATTCTTGTGAGAGAGGACTCAGTATCCCCCCCTATTTAATCGGATGTAATCTACCTGCTTGGCAGCATTCCAATCAGATAGTTTCAATTTTGCTCTTGTAATGCCATTCTGTGAGGAGGGGGAAAGTGCTGAGCAGAGCACTTTGCAGGCGATTTGCAAATAACAGCAAGGGAGTCTTTTAGAGAAATGACTGAACAGGAAGCCGGAGAGTTGCTGGAGTTGACAGCTCTCTCACTGGTTTGCTGGCTTTGGCGGTGACGGAATGTTTTGCATCCCACCTCCTCCTCCTCCTCTTCCTCCCTGTGACAGCAGCTGTCGGGACAGTAAAGTGCCACTGAAGGTGGCCTCCTATGGTAATACGAAGGTAATTATTTTCCGCTGCAAAACCACCATTTCCCAACCAGGCAGGCATTTGGAGCCCCGGGAGCGGAGGCAACATCCCGGATCCTGGTGACACTCCAAGTTATTGAGTTAGTAGCATGCAGTCTGGGGTTGCTGTGGAGTCAGCGTTGCAGTATTTGTGTTCTCCGTATGTGTACTTGCCCCCGATGTCAGCGCGCTGCCGGCCTGTCTGAGCGGCGAGTGAAAGTTAATCTGGATGTTTGCAAACACGCGACTGTGCTCGCCGTGATAAAAAGACAGACAGACAGAGCTGGAGGACAGCGGTGCTCAGTAGTCTGGCAACATACGCTAAAGGTCGATAGTGTCATGTGTGACCGATGAAACAGATTGACCCGCGGGGCTCTGGTACCTTGTCACCCTCCACAGTCCTAGCATCTGTCTGCAATGTGTCACCCCGGGGCCCAACATGGCTACTCAGGCTATTAACCTCCAGCGCGGGAGGACACGGCAGAGTTAAGACCCCTCCGCCCGCCTCTCTCTGTCACAAATCCACTTCTTACCGTCCGCACATTCCCTGGCCCCCCGTGTCCTTCGCCACTTGTTACCCTTTTGGTCCAGAAGCCACCAAAGCCCGAGCAGGACTCAGGAAGCTGCCGCCAACCTGCCACCAACCTGCCCTACCTGGATGGTTGCAGGGGAGACAAAGTGGGACCTTGAATCAAACAACTGTCACTGTTAACAATGTATGTCACCGTCTCCGAATGGGCCATAAAAACCAAATAAATGACGGCCATTACAGTGGAGATTGTGATTATGATAATGAGAATAATAAAGACGATCATCATTACGATCATGATGATAATGATAATACTGTGATGATGAATTATAATGAATAAATCCCTACCCCATTTCCTAAATGGTGGGAAATGTATCACTAAGAGTGGCCCGCAGCCGTGTGACAGCCTCTGAACAGGGTGAGGGTTATCACCGTGTGTGCGTGTGTGTCATCTGAACCGTTTGTACTCTGGCAACAACCTACTTCCTTTTCACGTCTGTATATCAGTACAAGCTTGTGTCTGTGTATGTGACTCCCCAGCCAGTGTATAGTGTGTTTGCCATGCTCAGAGAGCTCTTCCCAGGAGACATAGCAGTTTACATATCACATTCAAACAGCTTTCGTGCTCAATATCTGCCTCTTCCCCTCTCACGTGTCTCATCCCCTCCCCTCTTCCTCTCTGCATTTCTTTATTTAGTCCCCTTTCCCAGGCACTGCCACTAAATCAGGGTTCATTTTAATCACCCGCAGAATGCAGACGGTTCCCGCAGGAAACACCACGGCACTGGCTGTTTGTTCAAATGCTAAAAACAAACGTTATGTTTTCTTGATGAGTGACCTCTTGTGGTCATGGAAGTAATTACTATCCGCTCTCAGAGGCAAAGGTGGGAGCAGTGTGATGCTGTCATAGATTTGCTAATTAGGCAGTTGGTTCTGTGGGACCTGACATCACTTTGTTGCGGTTCTCACAAACAGCCAACGTTTAAAACCAGTTAAGCCCCGAGCCTGTTTTTCAGGCCTCAGGCTCGAAAAGGACATTCCCAGAACAAATGACCATATCTTCCCTTCTAAAAGGGGTAAATTAATCGTCTTTTTTCTCAAAGCAATGATAAACCTGTGAGTTGGATGTAGAAAAGTCAGAAGCAATATAGATTTTTTTAATAAAAAAAACCGCGTATTGAAAGGAAACGACCAATGACATATTTTGCCAAACATAGGGTCTCATTCCACATTGGTGCTTATGAGAGAGAATAAACCAAGTTGTTGACCAATGAGGTTTTGCTCACAGGAAATGCTTCAAAAAAGAAACCGCCTCGAAAACAAGGTCCATCTAAACAGACAAGCCGCCAGCCCCCTCAGTGAAATCCATCATGGGTGTCACGGGGAGAAACAAGTGGAATTTGTCATTGACATCAGACACGTCATTTATATAGAAATGTCAGCATAGCATTCGCATAATGATGGGAACAACAACGCTGAGGGCTTTGGGTCTCGCACTCTGATGGCTGTGTGCAAACGTCACCAATAATGTGTCTTTAGTCTAGACATGTCAGGGCTCCATGGGATCTATATCCACGCCTTTTTGTCAGCGCCTTCAATCTTCCCTGTTGCTCAAGAGCTAAGTGCAAGAGATTAATAAGTGGATTTGTAATGCACAACCTCAGGTTTGACACTATAAGTCATCGGCTGTTTATCGCTTTGGCTTTCTCGCCAGATTGAAAAATGGCAGACGCTGAGTAAGTTAGTTAGCCAACCCTGCATCCCCGCCTCCCTCCTATTGCAACCCCCACCCCCCTTGTCGTACTCCAGGACCGGGAGGTACAGTATACTGTAGCGGCTAATGAGCAGCTTGTGTCTTTTCTGTTTGTTTCCCCCTGGCAGACAGATGATGTGACGCAAATAGAGGGCTCTCAGCAGCTCCAGCTCCAGCACTCAGACTCTTCAGAGAAGCAGCAGCCCAAAAGGTTACATGTCTCCAACATTCCCTTCCGCTTCCGGGACCCTGACCTAAGGCAAATGTTTGGGGTGAGTACCTTGAAGGAACATTTCAATGTATTCTATTATGTTATAAAAGGTTTGGCCTTTTTCCATCGGTTTATACAGTATAACACTGAACTTGGTAAGTTAATTCCGTCAATCTGGTAGCATGGTAACAACGAAACAACAAAGTCCATTTTCGCCTGAAACCAAGAGAGCATTCTCGTCCGTCAGAGAAATGTATTACACTTTTCTCAAATACAATATTCTAGCTTCGGGGAAAACGAGCACTGGGGCTAAATCACACATCAAAGGCCACATATTTAATGAGAGGCGATTGCTAAAACCAGCATCTAGATAACTACATTTTCAGGAAAAAGAGTTTTGACAAGTTGGGAGAAGTAAAGCCCAATGTATCAACATCGGGCTGATGGGTGTGAAGAACTCTCTGCTACACAGACACAAGGAGGAAGTTAAGTTGAGATATGGAACCCAGTACGATGATCATTGACCGTTCATCTTGGTTTTCTCTTTTCGGAGTTGATTTAAAACCTGTTTGATCAACTTGATGAGCTGAACTGGCTCGCCCTGTCATTTTAGAAATGTTTCTGTGTCTCAAGATGCTATTCACTTTGCAAGAACAATAGTAATGGCAACTATGAAGAGAAAAATAATGGGGTTTTCTGGTCACCAGCAGTCCACATATATAAGAGGTCTCCCAAAAGCTTCTTTAATAGCTTTTAGACCATTACAGAACAGCTTAAATCAGGCCGATTATTCCTCCTGATTACCTGTTTAGCAGATACACATACCGAGCTGTCAGCTGCAGACAAATGCTATCAGATCACTTATCAGCATACCGAAATCCCTCAACAGAAATTCTCCCTTCCTCTCTCTGTCTCTTGCCCAATTAATGAGGCAATGAATAGTTCAGCAGCTCACCCTTGTGTCTCACAAAAGCCTCAATAAGAATTGAACCATACATCCCCAATTCAATAACCATAATGGATCTGAACGGAGGCGATTTGCCAAAAATGTACTTTAAATGTTACGCGCTAATTGGACCATTAGAACCCAGAGGCGTTAATTCTCGCCGTTATGAAGACAACATCCAGCTGATGATATTAATTACTGGAGAGCCCTGGCTGTGGCTTTATGAATAGCAGAAAACATGGCTGCTCTCCTTCTCCCTTTCTCCCTATGATTGTTGGCTTTATTGTTCCCAGCTCTGGTGCAGGTCGTGCGGAATCCAAATCGCCTCAGTAATTAGCTCTGAGGCTTTGTGTGCCTGGCTCGCAGATATACGATATAAAATTGATCGCGGCCCACCCAGTCCCCCCTCAATCACCCTGCTCACTGACGTATCGCCCGCTCCGTCCTGTTTCATGCCCCACCCAACTTGGTGGTTGGCATTGTGGGATTGATTGTCTTGGGTAGCACTTGGCACAGAGCAAGCTGGTCCGCTCCACCCTCTGACATGGCCTCCACAATGGGCCTTTGTGTGATCAGCGTGTGCAAAGCCTCATCCCTCTAGCTCTAATGGCTTCTGGAGCGCCACCGGCTCAATACGCCATTACTGTTGCGCATGAGTGAAACCCACAGACATGCAGCGGGGGGAAAGACAGAGGAGAAGGAGAGTGGAGGTGCTGCACAAGGAAAGCCCCAGCCAGGAGCTCCATCTGCTCCCCTGTCACACTGAGAAACTCTCCCCGGTGTCGGCGCCCCGAAAACAAGAAGGGAGGGACCACACTCTACCCCGCACGCCACAGGGTTAAGGGTGTGAAGAAACCTGTGAGCCTTTAACGAGGCGCTGAATGAAGAGCTCATTAGGACGACCACAGCGGACCTTAATCAGTAATTAGAAACTGTGATCTCTGAGAGCTAGCAAGTGCGGGGGGAAATGAAAACACTCCAAGCGCAAGTGAGCTATGCGCGGAGCCCATGCTGTGCCGCTCAAGGGTGCCCTCGTTTGTGCGACTGGGTTCTTCAGTGGCGCTTCTCTCAGTGCATGTAAGGGCTCTCACAGCATACCCCCGGAGCAATCAGGACCTCTGCCCTCCCCCCATCCTGCTGTCACGCTGACTGCTGGGTGTGTGAGCATGCTCAACACTGCCACTTTGCTGTTTGAATACACAGGGGCTGCCGGAGCGTAATTATAGGTTTCTTAAGAGCTTAAAGATATTCAAGCAAATCAAAGGTGGAGGCACACTGTGGCAGGCGTATGGCTTTGAACACACAGTGTATTGTTGATTCATTTATGGGGAAGGCACACAAGGCCACACTGCGTCACCACTGTGTTTTAGCTCCATAGCTGCGTGTATACTTTTCATGTTTGCCAGCCGTTTTTTAACTTCTACAATTCCTGGTTTATTTCTGCAGGAATATTAAAGATGCAGAATCCTTTAGCTGTATGTAAAATAGAAAATCAGCTGATACATGAAAATAATACTTCCACATTTCTTACGTGCAGCAGCATGATTTGCCAAATCTGCAATAATACGGGATAAATAGGGTAAAACAAGCGCCCTCTGGTATGGTCTTGTAACGTGCTGCTCTTAACTGCATCTTCGTATTGATATTGAATCGTCTCAGCCGTGTATGGATGTATGGACGGATCGAGCTGCAGCCTCTTAGATGACGTCAGTCTTTCTGGTCCCTCTGGAGACTCCTCCCATTGAAGCTATTGTTTATCGGCTCTGCTGATGCAGCTGTTTGTGTGTGTGTGTGTGTGTGTGTGTGTGTGTGTGTGTGTGTGTGTGTGTGTGTGTGTGTGTGTGTGTGTGTGTGTGTGTGTGTGTGTGTGTGTGTGTGTGTGTGTGTGTGTGTGTGTGTGTGTGTGTGTGTGTGTGTGTGTGTGTGTGTGTGTGTGTGTGTGTGTGTGTGTGTGTGTGTGTGTGTGTGTGTGTGTGTGTGTGTGTGTGTGTGTGTGTGTGTGTGTGTGTGTGTGTGGGTGGGGATAGGAGTGCATGAGATCACTGGTGAGCAGCGAGCAGTCCCCAGCGCCATGTGGAAATCCTGAAAGACGACTTCCACTGAAACTAATTAATCGACGCCACAAGCCCATTACGCTCGGTTAAAACAATTAGCATCTGCACATTGCGTGGGGGAAGCATTGTCATCTCAGGCGAGAAAGGGGCATCACGCTGGGATATAAATGCCTTGTGTGTGTGATCGAGCCAATGCTTCCCATTCGAATCAATGGAGCTGAGCGCCATATGAGGCAGATGTGCGGATAGGATCTATGGAATAGTTTATATAGGGGAGGAAATCTGCTGAAACAGAGGAGGAATCAAACAACCAAGCACTGTTTTCCCTTTAAGTCAGTGTGTTCAGAGCGTTTTCAAGTGGAAGGGGACATGTGCTAACGCATAAACCCTCACCTCTTCAAGCCACTCACTTCAGCTAGATAATAGCCAGCTCCTCCTAACCCCTATTAGTGGCTCAGTCAAACGATCCATCCATTCCCATTGAGCGTCGACCACATGGAAGGCCCATTTCTTCCCTGTTGTGCCGAAATGAAGGCGACGCGGACCGCTTGACAGGGTAATTACTTTTAATGAAATAATACGGCCATTGTAGACAGCAATTAAAAGTCGCTCTCACTCCACTCATTAGAGGAACTTACAGTTTACTTTCATTCCTCTGTTTTCTAATGATCCGAATGCAGGCCTTTAAATGGAAAGGCTGGAGCATGTTAACCCCTGGGGACCGGCCCCTTAGGTCCTGTTGACTGTGGGAGCACACAAACAAAGACAGAGAAAGAGAGGAATATAAAAAGGAAGGAAAGTCTGATCCGCCGTTATCTGCTCAGAAAAGTTTTCCCCAGCTGATCATGAAGGTGGAGGAGTTTCCATATCTCAACTTCAAAATCGAATCTGATGCTTTTTGTGTGGGTGTTTACGGGAAAACAAACAGCAGAAGAGCTCCTATGTAATCAAAGTTCCAGTCTTTTTTACTGTGATCTCATTTCAAATTGTATCGAAATACAAACACGCATTAAAGCAGCGGCTACTGGTTCTCTTTCTAAAGCACGCCAAACCGGCTTCAAGAACTGTTTGCCTAGCTAACAAATGCAAATTGACCACCGTCTCCTCACAAAAGTAGCATTTCCATATTGCCTTAATGGTTTTTTCTTTCTCCAGCCGTCCTTCTCATGAATTCGCAGTCGGCGAGGCTTTTCTAACTCCATCTCCCCTCTTCTCTTTCTCTTTTCTCTCCGCAGCAATTTGGAAAGATTTTAGATGTGGAGATTATCTTTAATGAGCGAGGATCCAAGGTAAGTGAACTAGAACACCAGCTGCTTCATTACCATGTACTTCTTCTGTTTCCTAATGATGGCATTAGTGTAGTGTGTACATTGGCGGAGGGTAGTGGTCCCTAAGCCCTAAGAGGGTAGTGGTCCCTAAGCCTGGTCCTGGAGAGCCTCTCCGTCTCCCTCCCTCTTGTTTTTGTTGTTGCAGCTCTAACCCAAGTTGTGAATCATTAGCCCTGTCAATCAATTCATTATTGAGCTGTTTCACAATTCACTTAATCCAGCAGCAGGCTGCAGGTCCTGAAGCTTATGGAATTGAAACGCCTTGTTTAGGGAGTGGGTGTTTGAAGCCTGGGTGTTGCTCCTACATTATTCAGGGTTTTCTCATTTTGTTTTTTACATATACTATAATTCAGTATAGGAGTTCTCTGGGGTGTTTTGCAAAGAAATGCTAGTTTAGCTAAATTACAATTCCAAGGCTAATCCTACTTCCAGCTCAAGCTTTGGACAAACAGGACCTCACGTGTTTGTTGTGTGGAAGCTTTCGCACATTTAATTAATGCCTACACACAAGCTAATTCAATGTGATTTTTGAAGTAGCCAGTTAAAGGACAAGCTCATGAAAAGACCACAACCAGCAACGTGTCGGTCCGTCTCTTCGGCTCTAAGTCCAATTGTTCCCATTGATGCTGGAAGTCTTTCAAATTGGGTCACAGATAATAAAAAACAAATGTAAAGGCTTAAAATGTTCCTTGAAAAGCTGGGAACTGTAGTTTGTAGTTACTTAAAGAATAGTAACAAAGGTGCTGCTGTTGAGGACTACTTTCAGCAGCGGATTATTCCACATGTACATTCCATCAACACGACGGCCCACAATATATGAAATTGTCAATTATTCTACACTGTGAGTTTGTGATGTGTTTAATCAACAATGGCACAGAGGAATACCATTTAACACGCTCTGACTGCACAGGAAATACTGTGGCTTTGGTCTTTTTATGGAATTATGCAAGAATACAGAATATGTAGACAGCCCAATCCTTTAAAGTCATTGAAATGTATTTCTTGTAATCTTAATCTTGATTATGTCAAAAAATCCGAACCCCTGAAGCAATAACTCCAATAACCCAGCAGTAGCATAGCCAAAGCGGCGCATTGTGCTGCAGTATCAGTCTCCTAACCACCTACCATGGACAGGTGAGGCCCGCGGTGGTGCGAACAGCCGAGTGCTACTCATCCAGCTGTTCATTTAATAGAGTGCACTAAGCTCCACAGCTTTCCATTCATAAAGGAGACAGGATCCCTGGCTGGGTGTTGAGGCATGAATACTATTGATTCCCATTCATACCTGGGAGTAGTTTGGGCCGGTACACAGGCATGCAGGGAGCCTGGGAGCCGCTGCACTCAGCCCCCTCTGCCAGACAAGATTGAGCACCGGATAAACCTGCCTCCTCCGCCGTAACAAGCATTTATTGTTTGTGCCCTACAAAGCCATTACCCATGATGCCTCTCTTTCTCCCCGCACCCTGTGTGCTATATAATGAACCTACCAGGCCATTAATAAACAATCTATTTCCTATGAAGCTTTGGCAATTTGCATTCAATATGTTTGTCTCCTTTGAAAAATGGTGGCTCCACTCGCCCCTCTTGTAAGCTAATTATTTGTGCATGATAAAAAAAAAATGAAAAAAAATGGAGGGGGTAACAGTCGGGTGAATGTCCAAAGGATTAATTTTGCCCTCAATTCCTTTTTTGAATTTATTTCTTTATCTCTCTTCCCCCCAAGGACAGGTCTTGTGTTATTTATGCTGGAAATAGCAACCTCTGAGATCCTGTGTATGCATACGAGATCACGCCGCTCGCCATCTCTCACATGTATTACATCCTCAAGCAATTATCAGGCAGCGCCGGCCATGCCCCCCCCCCCCCCCCCCTCCTGCCTCTACAAGTATATATAGAAACCAAAGGAATGGGACTTGGCCGGCATATCTCATTGCTGCTGCTGCTGCTGCTGCTGCTGCTGCTATAGAGCTCAGGTCCACATAACTCAAGGAAGTGACAAACCCCCCCAGGGAAGAAGGGAGGGGGAAGGATTTTATTTTGGGGGGGGGATAGAAATGCAAGGTATATTTTGGTCAGGGTGTAAAGTCAATATCTTTATCACAGATGGATGGTATTTGCGGCGACACCATTCACTTTTTTGTCCTTTTCAAAGAAGGGAATTACAAATAGTCAAAGCTCAGGTTAACATGTCCCCCAAGGATTCATTCACTCCTTCTCCCACGTCTTCAAAGGGGCTCGTTTGAGCGACCGCGCTGCCCAAAATGTGTGTTGATAATTACACCACTATTATGGCAGCTAACACAGCGTTTTGCATCCGCTGCCTCCTGACATTCACCCGTGGCACAGGTGCCGTGGCGTTTAATTGGGTAAAGCAGGCAGGCTTGTTGGTGTTGTTGTGCGGGGTCATGTCACCGTTATCCTCTCCTCCTCGGATCTCTCTGTTTGTTGTTTCCTGACGCCTCACTAACTGCCTCTAATTAATCTGGCTGCTTACAACTCGACTCTGCCGCCGCTGCTGCTGCTGCTACTCCTGTCTTCTCACCTCTTTTTTTCCCTCTCTCCCCTTTCTTTTTTTCTGTGTTTGTGTGTGTCCATCCTTTCCTACTCTCCTTTCTCTATCCTAACCTGGCGCTCTCAGGGCTTTGGGTTTGTAACTTTCGAAACAAGCACAGATGCCGATCGTGCGCGGGAGAAACTAAATGGTACAATCGTAGAGGGACGCAAAATAGAGGTGCTTTCCTTTTTCCCCCGCCTCTTTTAACCATCATTTTCTACTTCCTGCCTGCTGCCTTCTAAATGTACCCATAAAGCCATTCATTAGCATGAGGATGCCGTGTGTACGTGTGGATATTTGCATCCCTGTGTGCCTGGAAACATGCATGCATAATGGTGCATATAACTTGAGTGGAATGTGGGGTCCATACGTGGACACGCTACTTGTCCATCATTACCTGGAAATGCAGAATGAATGCATGCCATCATCCTCTGGGTCCCTGTCAAATCTGAGAAGCCTTGTCACCATCGTTTAGTGTTGCCTGCTCTTATTCTGCTCTTGTTTACGATGAGCCGAGTCCCCCCCCCCCCCCCCCCCGAGTCATTCTCATCAGGTCAATAGAAGAAAATCTAAAAATGTCTTTTGGAATTCATTTGTTTATCCAACCAATTACTGAATCTGAAAGTTGTTTTGTATTCATACCTGTGGGTAATTGGTGCATGCCTTCCCCCCAATTCACAATAACTTGGTAATACGTAAGGCATGATGAATACATTCCTGCACGGGTGAGCCAAACTCACACCAAAGTGCTACATTGTTTTATCTTTTTATGAATTTCTCTTTATTTGTCTTGGTATGCTGCTTGCTTTTTGCCCGTGCTCGATATATAGAGGTTGTGAAGGTGGGTGATAACAGTCTGTGTTGCTTTGAACAGGTGAACAACGCAACAGCACGAGTGATGACAAACAAAAAAGTGGCCAACCCTTACACGAACGGTAAGCTCCAGACAGTATCGTAAAACTTAAAAATAATCAGGTTTTTCGTTCTCATTTTCAGTTTTCACTTTTTTCCTTCACCAGGCTGGAAGCTGAATCCAGTGGTGGGAGCTGTCTACGGTCCTGAACTGTATGCCGGTAAGAGAACTTACAGCGTGTGCAGCTCTGAATGTTGAACGTTGTTTTCCCTCCCTCTCCAACCTCACGCGCCGCACCATACCTGAGGCCACTTTCAGCCACAACCAATCCCGATCTGACCCCTGCATTTCTCCAATCGAGCTCATCCTGCACCTGCTGAACATGAAATGCCCCTCAAATCAAAGTGAATCTGAGAGCGTGGCAGATAAGCAGTGGATGATCCAAGCTTCTCTGAGTGGCTGAGGGAGCCTGAGCCATTGTTTGCGCCGTGTGCAACTGTAAAGCTGAAAAAAAAATGATTTCAAGAGCAGGCGCCCCTGCAACTGTTATCAGATTGTGGAGGCTGCTGCTGTGGATGGATTTGCCAAGTGCGCCAGATTGACTTTTACAGAGCTAACCGAATAAGGGAGATTGAGTGAGCGATATTGTTGGCACCTACCCTGTCGAAGGCCGCTATTCCTTCTGCTCTCCGTAATGGAGGAATGAGATGAGCTCAGTGGGGTTTTCCCTATCTCTCTCTGCCTCGACATGCCAGCTTTATTGCTGTATGTTATATGAACCCTTTGCATTTTAATGAGGGGGAAATGGTACTATTTCATTTGGAAGAAGTGCTGAGCACATTGCGCCACTTTAACGGCTTTCCTTTCTGCTCATTAGACTAAAATCTGTTCATTCCCCGGACAGCTTTACGGCGAACCTCTAAATAACTGTCCATGACAGAAAGCAGTCATCTATCATTTTTATTTCATTCCCAACCCCTCACCCCCTCCGTGCCTCCTCCTTCCCCCCTAACACTCCCTCGGTTTCGACATCTTCCCCTGATAATTATTCACGCACATAAACACGCACACATCCCTTCGAAGGTGCTCAAACAGGTACCGGGAAAAATGTCACTAAATGACACATGCGGACATTAAGTAACTTGTGTAAACAGTCATTTCACTGACCTATATGCTCACAACACTGCCCCCTTTTTTTCACGCAGACCAAAGCATTCCAGCATACAGAAATAGATAACCTATGTAGAACACAGACACTAATACATGTCCCCGCTTCTGTGCACACTTTCTCCGTTTTGCACCCACACACACTCACGCACACACACACACTTCCCAAATCATCTCATAAATCAGAGGGAGTGTGGTCCACCACTCCAGGCAGGGGAAGCAGGAGGGGTTGGGTGATTTATTGGCTGCTAATTTTTCAAGTCGTCTTGACATGGCACTGGAGTTTGCCAAGCCTAAACGACAACATATGCTTGCCAGCTGGGAAGATGGGATACATAAATAAGAGATACATTTTTTAAACAAACCCGCCCTAATGAGCAGCAAAGAGCCGCTTTTGCTCTGAAAAAAAACAAAAAAATAACAGATCATGCTTTTTGACTTCTTCCCACCTTATGAGCATCACAGGATTCAGGACATACTCCAGAATCATCATAGCTACAGTTAATATACTTTTGGTGGGAGTAAAGTGGGATATAAAAGCGATTAATCACTGTTTATCAGTCCTCATTTCTGTGCGGGAGATCAGTGAAATTGGGAGCCATAAATCCTGGCTCGGTGACAGCACACTTCGTCTCCATTCGTCCTGGCGCTACAGGTTTATTGTCCTCAAAACCCATTCAGGAGAATGACGGATGAGAGCCTCACGCCGGCTCCCCGCTCTTAACCTCTTCCAGGGTAGATTGGCTCCTCCTACTGATGGAGAAGTGGGGGGGGGGTGGGGAGTCCACATCCTCTTGTTTCCACCTAAAAACTCCCTCAGAAGCCTGGACAAAGGAGCAGGCTGATTGGATTCCCAGTCAAATGGAGGCAATAAAAACATAGCAATGAGACAAATCATGGCATCCAAGATCTGTGCTCACCTTTTCCTCCTTTACTGTGCGCTGATCTGGAACACTGTTTGTAGAACAAACCCCAGATTTAGTCCTGCACTAACTCCTATATATATAGGTACATCTATGCTTAACAACAACCATCTGTCTGCCCTTTCCCTGGTCCCTTGTACTGGCTTAATGGCACCTGTGCACCTTACAGTTCAAATGATGCATACAGTGATTGTGTGTGAAGCTAAAGCTAGCACAGAAATGAACAGGAAGTGTGTTTAAATAATGTTTTAAGTCATGCATATTAGTATTTACATCTTCATCTATGTGCATATGTTTTGTGCACATGCAGATCTGTAGGCCTAAAATCACTTTTAATTGGCATTCATTTTATTTTTTCAACATTTATTTTTTAAAAAACAATTGCTGACAAAAATGACACATCAAAGGATGGATTAAAGTGTAAAAAGCATTGAAATGCAGATGCATGTTGCACTATTTAGCTCTTTTGACAACAATTGGCCGACTTATCTGGATTGTTCCTCTAGTTGGATGTGTTCAGCACCATGGACAGCTGCCACTTAGAAATCCCTTCATATGGCCAGTTCCCCTCAGGCTGACAGAGAGGGACTCTCCTCTGCAGCTGATTCCTATGGAGACAAGTAGCTTTTCACAGTGTCTGCTACTAAGGTGGAGTTTTCTTGAGTACTTGTGTAAAGCTAGCAGCTGTATAAATGACAGAAAAGAAAGGCTAATTGCTTATTATAAGTAGACAGATCCCTTCATTGTTGGAGTGTACGTTAGGGGGATAATTAAGCTCCAGACTCTTGATTAGATTAAGCTGTTTTCGGTCCCCAGTGCGTGGATTAAGTACTCGTTGCCCGATGTATTTGAGCAGGAAGTATTAGAGAGATCAACCTTGTGGAAGATCAGATCTTTCTTTATGGGAGCGGGTTATGACCCCATCATTGGCACAGAGCTGGATTACCTCAGGTCCAACTGGCTCTGCAGGTATTGAGCTTCTCCCAGGTTGACACATATGACATATGAGGTGCAGCGTGACCCCGCCGCCCTCCAGCGCATAACTCATATTTTCTCCATTCCCCCCTCCTGGAAAAAGGTGTTTGACTTTGGTGGCTAGACCAGGTTTGTGCTCTCATACACCGTAGCTGTTGTTGCTTTTCACGGGCTTACCCAGGTGTGACAGTGCCTTTGATTTATGGGTTATTATTGAAGCAGTGTAGCCTATCGCCAACTCATTATAAGTTTACATTCACATACATCACCGCAAGCATATTGCATACACATTTCCAAAAAAGAAAGGGTTGGACTTTCTGGGGCCTAGGTGTAGTAGCGATTTGTTAAGAAGAGAAGGGAAAAAAAACCTCGGAAACTATCAAAGAGGATTGTTTTTGCCCTTTAGCAAACCACACTCAGATGTCCACTGCTCCAAAAAAAGAGACTAATTTAAATGTCAAGGTCAGCATTATAAATCACTTGGGGGAAAGGGGGCACTCTGCGAGTCCAGGCTAGTCTATTGGTACGCTGGCAGCAAACAAAGTGTTGTGCACCTTAGTGTGTGCGTTGAATGGTGGGGGGGGGGTGTTACCTGGCCAAATGAGACGCAGAGTTTGAATATGTGTGCAGACCCACTAATGGAGCGTGCTGTTAATGGCAGAAGACATTAAACCTGGCTCTCTGTGTTTTCAAAAGCACCACTAATCTGTCTCCCTGTCAGCTTTATTGAGGCAGCGGGGCTGGGGTGTGCGTCGTTCATTAGGGTGTTCACTGGCCTCGTCCACCTGCAGGGTCACACTCTGCACACGGCACGGCAACGCCCGCCCTCACTCCCTGCACGCCACCGATGTTTACACTAGCCACCATGGATCTTCATTGCATCTTCGTCTGCCATTGCGAGGAACTGCCTGCTGTCGCCTTGGCGGCAGCGGGTCCATCTCAAACACATCGGATACATGTTATTAACCTGTGATAGTCACCCCAACTGAGCACCCAACCCCCCCCCCCCCCCCAACACACCAACAAGGCCAGACCCAGAGCTCCTCTTCACGTGTCTGATTGAAAAGCGTTCTGTGATGAATTCACCGAAAACATGTCATGGAAATGAATAAAGAATAATAAGGTGAGGGTGAGGGGAGGGTGATGAGAGGGCGTCGTTGGGGATGATGAATAATGGGGATGACTGTGTTTTGATGGACTAGGCATGGGGGGGGGGGGTAAAGAACCTGGGAAGGGGGATGTGAGGGATTTTTCGATTGCTGGAAGGGAGGAGGCCAACTTAATCATGTCTAGAGATGGCTGTGTTTGTATGCACCTCCATGTAATCAGACAGCCACTGGACTGATTGAAGGTTAAGTAGAGAGCGAAGGATCACAATCGCCTGTCCTCTAATAATCTGTGACCGCGGGCATTTTGCTCACCATCACACCCCTTGCTGAAGCCCTTTAACCACAACCCCTACTCACTCACTGGTAGCCGTCAGCAGAGGACATATGTGGCCTTGTGATTGGCCAAAGATGGTCCCAGATGGGTTTGGGATGGGGTGATGCTGAGGTTTGGGCCTCGGCTGTCCAGCCCATCTGCTCCACGTTCCCTTGGGGAAGGTTCCGATCATCTAGTCGGGTTGTTCAACAACCTTCCATTCGGCTGGAGCCAAAAACCTAGAAACGCCCTCTACCTCTCCCCTGTCCACCCTCCCACTGTTCTCCTCGCTGCTAGCCCATTGTGTTGAAACTATGCAAAAGCCGTGGTGCGAAACTAGTGGTATTGCATCCATTACCTGCCTCTGCTTCAAGGCTGCCCCTCGCCAGGCACCAGGAAAGGATGCGTACAGCAAATGTGGATCCTTGCTGAGTACGGCACAAAGCAGCGAGCTGGGAAAGGGGAGAGTGCTCGATGAGGCGCACCTAGAAAAGATTAAATCTATTGTTTCCGTGTCTTCCCCATAATGCATTCTGTCATAGGCAAAGCAGTGCCACACGTCTCTCTCTAATGTATTCTGTCAAAAGGTAAGCTATGCCAAGTGGAGGATGTTTTCTGAAAGTCATTTTCTCTCCTTTTCCGTAGTAACAGGGTTTCCCTACCCTGCCACAGGCGCTACCGTGGCCTATAGGGGTGCCCACTTGCGAGGTCGAGGGCGGGCCGTGTACAACACGTTCCGCACAGCTCCACCCCCACCACCCATCCCAGCTTACGGAGCGTGAGTATTGAGTCTCTCACCTGCATGCTGAAAACAACAACACTGAGCACTTCAGACAGCGCTCAGTGTTTTCGTCGCGTTGCTGCTGTAGGATTTTCAAGCTCCAATTATGTTTGCATGCACATGCTGCAGTCTTCCATACTGAATGTAGGTGTGCCAGTCATACATTCACATTTCAAAAAGGAAACACTTCCTCCACAAGGGTTTGTGACATTTTTAGTCATTCAATATGAAAAATTCATTATAGTAAATATATATATTTAAAGTTGACATTTTATGCACATTTTTTGTTTCATATTAGTAGTTTGTGCCTATATGACACAGTACAGGCAAAAAGCTTAAAAGGGCCTCTTTAAACGTGTTAAAATAATAACACTGGTCGCTAGGTGTTGCTGTCCTTTTACTCAATTATTCCCCCTTTGTGTTATTCTACTCTGTTTGTCTCAAAGGGGTTGTACTCCTTCAGGGGGTAAAATCATTGTTGCTATCTAGGTATGTTCATCCCTTAACTCTGCCTATCCTTATGTTTGTGCTATTGACAGAAGAGGAGCTAACAAAGCCACAGGGAGAGCTGCAGAGAGCCCAGATAGCGTATTACTGGGCAGATCTCACTGGACTGTGACCAGGGTCTGTGCTGATCTCCTGGCTTTGTGCAGCCACTGCCTCACACTCGCTCTTATCAGCAGTGGTCTGTGTGGCCGTGGGAGAGGTCTGACGGGGGCCAGCCCAGGGCCCACTATAGCTGTCTATCTGTGATTGGATCAGGATCCGTCTTACTTGCAGGGAGAGACTTGCTGTCCAAGCTCAGACTAGAAAATCCCACGTGCTCTATTTTGCCCTCCCTCCCACTCCAGGGCCCTTTCGCTACTGATGGCAGCTGGTTGATTTATATAGCAGAGTCATGTAATGGTCCTTCGCTGCCTTCTTCTGTCCTCCCCTCCCCTTCTCTCCCCACCACCTCTCGACAACACTGCAGCAACTGGAAAGACAAACAATTTGACCAGAGCAGAAAATTGGACGGGGATGTGAAAGGGTTGCACTTTTTCCTTTAATGTGTCATTCATTATTTGTGGTTCAGCACACTGAAGCTGCAAAGAGCTGACCCCACAGACCCTCAAATGGTGGAAATAGGTGTAGGGCTGAGATTCAGGGGGGTTTTCGGAAACTAATGCTCCTTGTTTCTTTTATTTCACAGGGTGGTGTACCAAGATGGCTTCTATGGTGCAGAGATCTATGTAAGTACAGTTGGCTCTTCCTCCTGCCTGCTTAGATGAAACAGAAGTAAAGCAGACAAAAAGCCCAGCCCTGGAGACAAAAATGTGATCTCCTCAGCCCGCAGCGCTCCCCCAGCCTCGCTGCCAAGCCGGCGTCGATTAGGCCTCTGTCTGCTGTGCCAAGAAACCCAACAACCACATTTAAAACCCCCTCTGCTCCTCCCTCTCTCTCTCTTCTCCCTTCTCCCTTCCTATGATCTCAGACTTTGGCAAAGAGGCAGAACCCAGGCTCAGTGTCCCGTGTCAAGTCAGGTCATTTCTTACTTTAGATTTGTCTGCGTTTTTGAGGCGGCTCGTCCCTCTACTCTTCTCGTTCCTTCTTCTCTTCCGTGTTGTGTTTGTGTGTTCAATCCGAAGGGTTTGGACGGGATATCCCTGCCATGCCCCAGGGAGTCTCGCGCAGGCCTGAGAGGAGCCGGTTTCCTCCCAGCAATCACCATGTGGGAGATAAGAGGAGCGGCAGCAGATAAAGGGATTAGCCGTCCCTCTGGATGTCCGTGCAGGCAGGGTCATATCGGGGTTGGCCCTGCTGCACGTCGCCCTTGACAGAGAAAAGCATGGACGCTGTGGAGATAATGCTGAAATTACCACGCTGCCCCACTTTGACATTGGTCCAAACGTTTGCGGAGGGGATGTAATTTGTCCCTTTTATTCTGCCGCTTTTTTTTTCCGTCTGCCGAGATAGCGAGATGACAGTTGCCTCTCACTTTTGCCCAGTGTCTGGGAGCACGGTTGCTGAACCCCGGTGATATATCACTTACACACCAGCCCACATGATAGGACTGCATTTCACTGCTTTCTATTGTAGCGACATCCACCACCACAGGCGAGACCCGGGCTGTGCTCTGAGTGATATTGTTTGCCTCTCGCACTCGTTCAGCCACCTCCAGCTAAGTCCTGCACCCAGATGTCCCCTGATCACGGCCCCGGCCAGGTCGCTCCATCACTCAACCCGTCACGCCAGACCCTGGTGCTTTACTGCCATTAGTTTTGGCACTGGCCACTGCACTGCTTCAGACTGGCTGAGTGCGCGTGGAGGCCTCGAGTGACCAAGAGCAAGCCGTCCCTCAGCCCTCAGTGTCCTCCACAATCATTCAGTGGACACTGTCCTGCTGTCAAAACCAGCAAGCTGATTCGTATAGGCTTCCTTTTTGGAAATAAATTACTCGCTGACATTAGCAGAAACTGGCTGCGTATGGATTTACTCTACATACATCGCATGTGCTTATATATATATGCATGCATGCATCTCAATGTGGAAGCGCATACATACATGAATGCAGAAACACGCACTCGGCACGACAAAATAACAAATGTGCTGCACTGTTGTGTGCAGGATTTGACAATGTGGGAGAATGATTTATTGGTCCGTGTTTGTTCAGGCTGTTGCTGTAATCAGCGCAGTCCCAAGGCATGGCTGTCCCACAGGAAGTCATCTGCCTCGAGTGCTGGGACTTCCTGTGGAGTGGGATTCTCTCGCCGCGGCCCCTGACCTGATTTTTTTTTCACGTGCAGCCGCAACCGCCGCAACCACCGCACCGCTGCCTCCCTGCACCACTCTCCGTCGGACGTCTTCCCTCCGTGAGTTTTAAAAATGAATGAAAACATGCATTATTAAAAGCCACCTATCCACGGTATAGACGCAGATGGGCACACACTCCACTGGCACTAATAGAAAAACAGTGGGAGTACAGCTTCATTTCTCAAAGAGAGTAATAGCAGCACTCCACAATGAGTTCTTTAATTCCTTCCCCACTCTGGCAAATGAATACAGCGGTCCTGACTCCCCAGCGGTCCTGACTCCCCCACGGTCCGGCCGTCTCCTGCCTTCTTACCTAATTTGTGAGCCGAGGGGGTCTTGTATAGGTAAAAGGGTCTCTTCAATAATGTAGCAGCTGCGCTTCCTCAATCTAAAATATTTGGTTCACGTGGCCTCTTGTTATGCTCTTGCTGACAATGACTGACCCCCCTCCAATCTGCTGCCTCTCATTCATCCCCCTTTTGCCACCTATTGCCTCACACATCAAGCAGCGCCCTCTGGTGTCCGACGTTGCACATGCGAGCAGATACACTGCGGTGACATTTAAGGCAATCTGTGTATGAATTCTTGTTTGTGTCTGTGAGATCTACCCTTTTCTCTGTGTGTGTTTAATTATTGATTAACACTTTGCTATGTTTACAGGGAGGATATGCAGCATACAGATTTGCCCAGCCCGCCACCACCGCTGCTTACAGTGACAGGTGAGAATCCCTTCATCCATTCTTTATTTACCATAAGGGTTTTCCTAACCACTATTCCTTAACTTCATGGAAAAACATCATGGGGTTAAGTAAATATGTTCATCAGAACTTCATCAGGACCTGCCCCCATGCACACTTATGGTTTTGTTTCATGCTGGCTTTTGGACAGTGATAAATATATTCTTCATTACCAAGGTTGGAGTTGAAACAAAAATACATTTGTTGCAAAAACGCATAACTTGTTAGGCCTCCACCTCTATCGCTGAGTATTTCACCATTCAAACATGTTGAACAAGTACATTCGAAGGTAAAGGAGATTATAAAGGAAGCATTGAAACTCCTTATCATCTAGAAAAGCTGAACGGCTCTTATCACGGCTGCCACTAAAGTACTTCCGGGTCATTTCACTCCGTTAGGAACCTTCCTACGCAAAATTGTAAATTGGACCGCAACCCAGGACTTCTACATTATTATGTATTAGGTGTTGCATTAGGCCCAGATGGCATCAGAGATCAATGCATGAAACAGTGTGTGATCCCAGAGTAAGATGTTGTTATTATATACTTTTTAAAAGAGCCCCATTATGCTCCTTTTCAAGTTCATACTTGTGTTTAGTGGTTCTACTGTGAAATGTCTCCATGCTTTACATTTTCAAAACGGTCTTTATTTGTCTCATACTTCACTGTCATCAGCACCTCTTTTCACCCTCTGTCTGAAACCAGAGCCCAGTCTGCTCTGATTGGTTAGCTGGCTGGCTCTGTTGTGATTTTTCAGCCGCTTAGAGATGTAGCGCCCCTTAGCGGGTGTTACATGATGATGTCAATATGTTACAGAAGTAAACAAAGTAGTCCAATGGAGGCGTTTCAAACTCCCTCTGGAGGGAACGCAGGGATGTTTGCCTTTTCAGACCATTTACATCCTATACAACACACGGCAGGAATAACACCTAGATAACACACTACAGGAAAGGAAAAACCCTAATCATAACAGGGCCCCTTTAATGTTTTATTTTGTTCAGTAAAGCAGAGATCCTAGAGAAGGCAGATATTGCCTCCCCCCCTGCACTATAAGCAGAAGATACCAAACGTATTGCTCAATAACCAGCGTTGAGTTGAGAGTAAAATGATAGACACTCCGCACCGTGTTCGACAAGCTCTTTTTGTTAATGGGAACTTCGATTTAAAGCAACAAGTTGATCCAATATATTAATCAAGTTTGTTTTTTTTGTCAAATAGAGGGAATTACAGACTGGAGTAGAAACAGATGAGGAAGATTGAAGGAAACCGAGTGTTGAGAATACAGCAGAATGATATCGATCAATGTAGAAGTAGCAGATTTTAGTTTCAAGCAATTACAGTGCTTTCCTCCAAAAAGAATCAACAATCGTCGTCGGAGAATGTGTGTGATGAATGATCTTCTCTTGCACTTTTGTAATATTCTGTGGAGGTTATTCCGGGTTATGTTTTTTTTTTTTTTTCACCTCTCCAGTTATCTATTAGGCAAACCGTCATATTCTTTTTAGCTCGGAGCTAAAGAACACACACCGAAAAAAGAAGGACTAACCTTGTTGGACTGGATGAGAAAAGCCGTGATATATGTCGTGACTCTGTGCTTGTGATGGGAGAGTGGGTATATCACTGAGGTATTTATGAATGGCCTCAGGTCTGTAGAGGGGAGGTGGAGAGACAGAGAGCGGGGGAGAGATGGACCGGCAGGAGCTCTATCACTTCTGAGCGATGTCACTCTGGTTCAGGTGTGCTCCGTTTGAGGAGGCGTCACTGATTCATTTCGGCCCCTGAAAGCCGTTGTCAGCCGGGGATGTGGGCTGGTTTGGGAATCTAATCTGGGAAGGATTGAGCATGTCACTTGTGATAACGTACACCCTGCCTGAGAGCCTGAAGATCATATCGATAATGTAAGATTTATCAGGCCGTCGCCGCGGCTCGAATTATGAGCAGCCGTGCTCGGCGAGAGCAGAAATTGGACGGCGGATTTCTTTTTTTTCCTCTCGGAGTGATTTCATTCCTGTTTTTCTTGCCTCTGAGATTTAAAGTAATTCGCCCTCAACTTGATTGTTTTGTTTGTTTCCTTTTGAATAAGCGGTCGTGCCCATTGGATCAATAAGGGTTTGTTGCTATTGTTTACCTTATCAGACTTAACCGTAGACAATCATAGAAAGAGGTCACCAGGATTGAGGAAGGCGTGTGAAACCCCCTGAAAAATATGAAACATGTATTATCTGGAAAGCCTCCTGCAGTGCTCACAGGCTGCACTACCAAAGCCCCTTTAAGTACCTCTGCAGTTCATAGCAGTGGGCGTGATGTATCAAAGAAGCCTAGAGAGGATTGACATTGTGGAGACCCTGCCGGCCTCCATATGGCTCTGTGGAGGCTCTGCGACCTTGTGCATGGTGGTTTGACCTGCCAGGCGTCAGCACTGCCACTCTGGTGAGAGTCATTTTGTAGATGTATTAGCCTTAGAGGGCCTGTGGGGCTCAGTGCTCAGTGAAGATAAGAGGACCATGGAGACTCCCTCTGACCATCTCATGGCGCTGGCCTCCTCCCCAAGGAGCCGAGGCAGCCTTTCTGATTTCACGTCCTGCTCACTGACCTTGGGTGCTGCCGGACGTAAATGGACCGAGCCATATTTAGATCTTATATAAGTCAACGTAGCTCATGCGAGAGGCATGAGCGACTGTATGTCTTGTTGTTTCCTTTAGGAGAATTTCCTCTCCTCTCTACACTCCCGTTTTATTCCTGGTTGAGTTGGTGCCCTCAGTCCTTGGCTGGGTGTGTCTTATCTGCTCCGTGCAGACCCTCATTTGCAAGCAGGCATTGAGGGGAGAAAAAAAACCGGAGGAAAGTAAATAGAAGAATATGTGAAGTCGAATAAATAAATAAATGAGGCAGACACATCTTGTCCTGTCTCAGAAGGAAATTGGAAGGATTAGTTCCAAACCAGCAACAATGAAAAGACAGGGGCATGAGCCCAGTGTGCATTCTGGGTAAACAAGAGCAGGGTGAGAGACCAAGCCCCTGCAGCTCGTTCTTTCTTTCTCTCCGCCTCCCTCTCTCCCTGCTCATTACCTATTCCTTGCACCTAATCAAGATGACAATGAAAAGACAAGTATAATTCAGCCACCTTTGAACTCCCCTTTTTGAACCACCTTGTATAATGCAGGAAGCCCAGGAGGCCGGGGAGGGAAATAATTGATTGTGTTAGAGACTTGAAAGAGTTGACTCGAGGGCTCGAGCATTAAACAAGCATGCATAAATGTTCCGCTCTCCTCATCAATGATAGATCAATGACTGTCTTCTTCTGTTCCTCCTGTTGTGCAGCTATGGCAGAGTCTATGCAACGGCAGACCCCTACCACCACACGATTGGCCCCGCAGCCACATACAGTGTGGGGACTATGGTAAGTCTTTGAGGCCACCGCCTGTATTTCTGCGTGCACCCCGTCTGAAACACCACGACACCAGCTAGCACACACACACACACACACACACACACACACACACACACACACACACACACACACACACACACACACACACACACAATTCCAAAAATAAAGACCAGAGACTGCAGCTGTCACTGGTCTTTATTTGTGTATTTATTCATCAATAGCTTTTTGTCATGCTATCTGGCACACCCTAGTGGAGCTCAATGGTAATGCATGTTGAAATAGGCTCCGACACTTAACATACTGTATGTCGTGCCCCCCCCCCCCCCCCCCCCCATGCAATATTAATTTGACATGTTCCTGAAATGAGAATGAGTTTGTTTCCAAACCCAAACTTTGCATCTTAACATAACTACATTTCCCAGCATTCTGTTCATCCTACACACCTCACTACAGAGTGAGCTGGATCATCTTCTTTACTTTCCATTCAGTCCAACCAAACTTGAAGGCATAAGGTTGAATTGTTAATGTCTGTTTTTAGCTAGCTTTTGCAGCTACTGTAACATCAAAGATGAAAAGTGATGATAAATAAAAGAGCGTCTATTTTTTAAGCAGAGAGAGTTTCTCTTTTTAGTTTTGATGATGAAGAGGAGATGGGACCGGGCTCACAAAAACCAAACCTAGAGATTAAGGACCTTCAAACGCATGCAGCAGTGTGCCGTGGGACATAAAACAGAGCGAGACGTGGGGGGGGAGGGAGTTGTCTCGCCTTCCCCTTCGTGCCCACAAGCTTGATCCGAAGCGTGCTCTCAGCTTGAGAAATGACTCAAATTTATAATTCCGGCATGCATGCGATTTTTCACTAACATGACAATACAATAAAAGTGCGTACAGTTCCCCGGTGCAGCTGCTAGCTAAAAGCTTTCATTAATTAAGACATTTCTTTTTCCTCTTCATTTACTTAATAAATAAAAAATGTGCTTGAATGTTTTTTATTCTTTCTTCTTTTTCCTCCAAACTTCCTTCCATTTCTCTGACACTTTGATTGTTTCCTCTCAACCAAAGTAGAAGATTTTGACCAACAAAAAATACCTCATGTTGTGTGTGTTAGGAGATCAGGGAGCTAACACAAACTCGAGAGGGGGAGGAGGGGGGTGGGGGCAGGGGTTTGGTGTTGAACAAATGGCAGGGCTACTGGGAGGCAGGCTGTGCTGAGGGCCGACATCCAATAAACTCATGGGCCGAAGAGAAGGAGCAGTGTGGTTCTTAATTCTTTAATCATATTTGATTAATGGTTCTCCAGCAGAGAGGAGTCATTTTTGCATTTTAAAGCTATACAATAATTAGTTCCTCTGAGATTAAGGTTTGAGATTCTCTTTACTCACTTCCAGAGTGCAGAAGCGTCTCGTATGGATGAAAGTTTCGCACCAGAGAGAGGACTCCCCGAAATTAGGCAAAATTAGCCTTTGAAGACATTCAGTAGCCTTTGGAGTTTGTCTGAATTCCTAATTGCAGCAGAGCCACAGGAAGATGAGAGGAGGGTGTGTGTGTGTGTGTGTGTGTGTGTGTGTGTGTGTGTGTGTGTGTGTGTGTGTGTGTGTGTGTGTGTGTGTGTGTGTGTGTGTGTGTGTGTGTGTGTGTGTGTGTGTGTGTGTGTGTGTGTGTGTGTGTGTGTGTGCACGCACATGTGCACGCACAGGCCCACTCGCAGGCTTTATGTGTCTCTGCCCTAGATAGGAATGTTTCTTCATCAGTAGTAAAAACAATATGTTTTAATTCCCTTAAGAAATGAATTAAATAAATTAAAATGCGTTTCTGTAAGAAAGTGCTCTTTTTTGCACTTCCCCAATGAAACTCCATGTCCACCAATGCATCCTAAATAGTAATGACCCTTTTCCTAACACACACTCCAATTATTGGCTTAACATTTTCAACCCCACTAATGATCGTCCCGTATGGAAACTCATCATTCCGACATATATAAATAACTTTCATGGAAAAAGGAAGGAAATTTGTGGTGAAAAAGAGAAACGGACTAAAGCTGTCACCTGAATACTGATTGGTACTTTTTCATCTTTGATGTTGCAGGCTAGCCTATACAGAGGAGGGTACAGTCGCTTCACTCCCTACTAAAAGAAAGAAAAAGAAAAGACAGAGACATTACCGCAGCAAACAAACAAAACAAAAAAAACGATCTTAAAAAATAACACAAAACAACACAAAACAAGCAAAGGCCCGGTCCTTGGTGGAGAGCTAAATCAAACTAAAAGCTTCCAGGTCCCCACGCTGAGCCCCTCCCCCTGACACCCTCTCAAGCTGATTTTTCTACAACAACCTATTTGATGTCATCATTGGTCTGCTCTTGTTTTGTATTCATTTTGTGCTTTTGGTTTTCTTTTGGAAAGTGTTGTATGCACATGTGCATTACCTTGATTGCTGTATATGGGTGCTGTGTCACCATAACCAATGTGAGCCTACTGCAGCACGCATGATGCATGCTCAGAGGTGTGTGAATACGCAGCCGCTGTCCTCTGACTAAGAATATACTGGGGCATTTCTTTTTTATGATACATGCATGACAAACTGGAAACATAGCAGGTGTTATCGGTCCACGCTGATCCAATTCCAATTGTAACCTTCCATTAAGGACAAAGAGCTCGGTGTACACGCTGACTCACATGCCTCGGTAATTCTTAGCTCAAAGACGGCACTGTTCTGACTGCTTTTGTTTTTTCTTTAAACGTTGGAGTGTCCTACTGTTGTGCACTTGCAGTGGAGCCTTACTACCTGTACTATGTGGTCTGACAGCATGCAGACCACTGCCTGAAGATCAGATTTCTGTCTCACAATGCTCACACTTTGGCTCAGTCTTCTGCAAATCACTCGATGTTTATATGCAACTATTCTGCACGGTTTTAGAGGGAAGTGGAGCGTTGTGTTCAGGAACAAAAAAAACTGTTAAAATGGGGATAGAGCGTTTGTTTTTCCAACCAGCAGCCTCGGTTTGCATCGCCCATTCTATAGTTGGCAGTGATATTTGAAACATTAAATGGGGATTTGCATATCAATATTTTGGGAAATGTATTGATTGCTCTTTTATATCGTACACCCATGTTCCACTGTTATTAGACCCATATTACACTCAAGTTACAGAAATATTACACTCATATTACAGTTATTGCACCTGTAATTCACCCTTATTTTACCCATGTTGCACCAGTACTACAGCAAGATTACACTGTAATTACATTGTTAACACACCCATTTGACACACATACACAGTGCTTTTAGAAGAACACAATTCCTTCTTGTATCACACCCAACTTGGTAAACGGCAACGTCTTGTTAACTCAGTTTTTTTTAAATATGTAAAAAGTAATTTTTTTAGACCATGATGCTCCTCGAGAATTAGAGGAATGAAGTATAAAAGTGTTTTCACTGGCTAAATAGTTTGAGTCAACTTACTGTAAAATATAAAATTGGAGAAGTGCCTCTCTTTAATGTTGCATTCAAACATATGAACTACTGTTGAAATAAAGTTAGAATATTGTTCAACATAGTCAAAGGACTTTTTTAATTCTTTTTTTGGAAATCATTGGTGATGCATTATATAGGAAGGCATTTTAATATCTTACTTACATAAAATGACATATGGATATTGAGGGGAAGAATTGGTAGATACATCAAGATAAATTACAATCTCAGAAGCTTGTAAATAGGAGTTATTAGACGGATTAGTGCAATTAATCAATTAACTGGTAAATCCATCATAAGAAAATTAACATTATGGATCCAACTTTATCTTTATCATTTTAATCTACATCCCTTTAGTTTTAATCTGCCTTCCTCATTTTTGCAGAATAAACAAATTGCTAAATAGTTGCAGATGAACGTAATTTGCAGAAGACTTGGCACTAACACCACGGCAGATGAATTGTACTCAAGGTGCGCTGTATTATCACAAACACACTGATACGCAGTAAGGACACAGCACGGAGGTGGCTGAACCCGACAGGGGGCTGTTCTGCATAGAGTCTCTTTTTTAAACATTTCACAAAATGTTTTACCTCAGGATAAACTAACTGATCACACACAACAATACAGTGCTACACACTCCTCAGCAGGCAGGATAGTTTAATTTAACACAACCAGCAGGTTTGTCCTCTTAGCAAACACAGCTTTCTATACGAGATGATTTGTTGTTCAAGCAGAGACCCCAAAAGAGGACGATAAAAAACGACTGTACTGTTGTTCTTTATTAAAGCTACTGTATTATATATATGTAGACATATACTGTATAACTAAGTTTACACTGCATACTCACACGTACAGTACGATATATTCTAAAAGAACCCAGGAGACGTGATGTAAATGTGTAGAGTGCAGCAGAGCTCGACTCTTAGTCCACATACAGTGGTTGCATTGGCTTCTATTACAACTGTGTGCTACGTGAGGCAGATTGAAAATAAAAATCTCTGTGTAGCTGTTAGCGGTTCAAGATTTCACTGCAGCTAGGAATACAACTCAAAGCTATTGCTGACAGTATTTTATTTATATGTACTCACAAAAGTGTTTGTGGTCTCAGAAAAAAAAATCAACTTTGTTGCACTTTTGCTTTTCCAAACTTTACAAGATGTTACATATTTATAAAAGTATCATATACAGCTAGTTATGTCTAGTCAAGATGTTAAAACCATATGTTGTATATCAACACACACAAAAAGACAAATTAACCCATAATCTCATGAGTCTAAAAGAATCTTCACGTGGGTAAACAAATGTCGTTCTTCCTTTTATATGCTAGTACTTAGTTTTTATATGAGTCAAAGTGAACTTTGAATATTATTTTTAACCAAACAGGTGAAGTTGTTTGTGCGAGTTTCTAGTGTAAACTCTGCAGCAGAGTTCATGTGTGGGTGTTGGTTAGTGACCACTATTAGGAAGCTAGAATGGAATTACATAGATTTCAGTTTTCTGATGTGAATGCGTGTGCCTATGTGCTCTATATATATATATATATATATATATATATATATATATATATATACATATATATATATATACATATGCATTAGAATGTGTGTGCCTATGTGCTCTATATATACATATATATATATATACATATATATATATATATATATACATATATATATATACATATATACATATGCATTAGAATGTGTGTGTGCGAGTATGTTTCAGATAAGAGAGAAAGAGGAAGTGAATGCAGTTTGCTAACATATTGTAGGTAGGATACAGTTTTACATGCCTTCACTCTAAGTCCCTGTAATAACATCACAATAGCCTCTAAAATATCAGTATCAATCAAATATTTGTAACGTTACACAGTCATAGAGAAAAACAAAAAGTACTTGGCCACGTTATTGACATTTATTCAGTATTTATCCAAGACTTACAATGTAATGCTAACAAAAACATCATAATTCCAAACATGACAGAATGTATCACAGTACTCATTGATTGACTGATGAGTCAATCAACATCATATTTGCAGTCTAAATAACCACTTTATAAAGCATTCAAATGATATACATACCATATTGACATGGTATATTCTCACCAAAAATGTAAGTGAATCAATCTACTCTTTAGGAGTAGTTTGTGCACCAAAAATACAGGAAAATGCATATCATTCAAAATGTCCGACTTCCATGTGGGCGGGGCCTTGCTGTACCATGGAGCTTTTTGTACCATGGCACATTCAGATGGACACGTGTGCCAAATGCGTTGTCAATCGGACATCAGTGAGAGAGGTCTGGCCTTTCCTATCTAAGACAATGTTCAGTAGACACATAATAATAGTTTTTAAAATGTTTATTTTTCTTCGACAAACATATTTAATTTGTGAGCTACCACTATTCCTTTTAAATATAACATGACATTTGACATGCAATTAATCTGTTAAGAAATATATTTTTTCCGCTCTACACCCTAGGACAGGGGTCTGCAACCTTTTTGACCAAAAGAGCCATTTTGTCTGGAGCCGCAAAACATATTTGATAGCTTGATAGCTTATACATTTGTATTTATTGTTACATCATAGACAAAAACTACATTTTCTTTGCATTTATTATTTATTACATTATAGAAAACTGTTTACCTCTAATAATAAACAAAGAACTCTTATAAGGAGAATAAAAAAATACACAGGCCTACTTTAAAATAAATCAACACAGCACTTGGGGAGTCCTCTGCACATTTGAAGGAAATTAATACAATTAAAATGGGCCCACTTTGAAATAAATAAAACCTATAGCTGCACCCTAAAAAGAGTTAACTGATTGAATTATGACTGAAGATCGTCAGCTGTCTTCCTCTCCCGTGTTGTTCCTTGATACGTAAAGGCTGCAGCACCTTTAACAACTTCTCTCTACATATCAGACATACCGGTAAACCAGCATCGTTTGCTGTGAAAGCATATAACTCTGTCCACGCAGAATTAAATCGTGTTCCTCCGGTACTTTTCTTTGATTTATCCATAGTTCTCTCATCGAGCCGGGGGTCAGGTTATTCACCTGCAAGAAAAGGCGCTTGTGCGGGACCGTAGCAGGATGTGACGCATATTTTAGCTGACCTAATTAAAACTATTTTTTGTATGTGTCACAGTATCACCTCAGAATAGAAGATACGAAACATTTTCAACCGCGCAACAAAATATAATTAGTCCTGCAAATATTTTAATTTGATTTCCTTCTTATTTTTGTCTGAGCTCAAGGGCTCGAGAGCCGCGGGTTGCCGACCCCTGCCCTGGGAGAATTTCGTAAATGTTCACTAAAAAGCATAAAATTCAAAGAAATTCAAAATGGCCGACTTTCAATAGGCGACAGGGGGATGAAAACCAACTGGAAATATTATTCGACTGCGCTGTTATTACAGGGACACGTTTGAGTATTGTCATCTAGAATCTGCTCCTATCAGTCTGCACGGGTTTGTTTACAGAAAAAGTTCAAATTAGCATTGTCTATCTGTGTCAGTGTCAGCTTATCAAGGCTTAAATGTTAAAGACAAAACATGTAAATAACTGGATGTCGGTATTGTAGAGGTCTGAGCCGTTTAGTTCTGCAAGTTAAAAGTAATCTAAATGTGAATTTATAAAACAGACACTTTGATATTTTCTCCGTTTAGTTTGCTTTCATTGTATTCCATAACCAGCCTAATATGCAACCGATCTCTTTGAACCACACATCTGTTCGTATTTATTAATGGTAGTATTGAGAAACATTTACATATCAGCATAAAAAGACTCTTTATCCATTATTTATATTTAATACAAGTATTTACTAAGCCCCGATAAGCTGGCAGGTGCATTTATTAGTTAAAAAATATTTGTACAAAAGAGAACCAAGCAAAAAAGTTACAGTACTTGTAAATACATTTAGATGTATATACATATATCGCAAATCTCTGATTAACTGTTTTATATGTATTCCTATATGAAGTGGGGTCATCTGTGTATTTTCAATTCAGCTGTTCTTGAATTGTATGTCATTTCTATAATGAGAATATATTGTCTGAAAGGTGTAAAGTCATTTTCTTTTGGATTCATTTCATAGTATACTATTATGACATTTTCTCTTATTTCATGGATTATTTATGTGACATATAAGTAACCTCTGATTGTTTTCAGTGTCAGAATAAAGCAGTTATAAGAACATTATGTCTGCCTTCACACATGGATGTTGTTGTTGCTGTTTTAAGGGTTTTATCAGAATCTGATTTTGGATTGTTGCATTATGTGTGCATCTTATCTGTTTGTTTAAAGCATTTCATCACTGAGCCCTGGTGGTGTCTGGCCCTTCAGATGGTTGCAAATAGGGACAGCTGCTACAGTATGATGGTGAAGAGAGCTTAACACAATGTGAATAAAAACATATGAACAAGTTAATCATTTCAATTCTATAAAAAGTTTTGAAAATGTGGAATTATTCACACATTTGACAACAATTGATTGCAAAGAAAAACGTTCTACAACTGTGCCGATATGTGACAGCTGATTTCAAGTTAATAATATCTATATATATAATATAAATATCTTTCAAGATGAATT